ATTACCTGCTATCTACTTAACTATAAAACCATAATTAAATTGATGTAGAGCCAACAGTTGACGTTGATTCCCCTAACCAAAATTATCCAAAATATGCTGCCCAAAAATTCCTTCGTGCTTCGTAAGTTTTTGCCTAGCACCATGAGATATTTTAACTAACATTTTAAATTCTAGTCTTCGGAGCTGTGCTTTTGGTTGCTATAGCCATGATTAAAGCGCAGCCTGAAGATCCAGGACCTGCTGGTATTCGACCAACTTGGAGACCAACCCGCCCAACTTGGAGACCAACACGCCCAACTTGGAGACCTACGCGCCCAACTTGGAGACCAACAAGATATCCTCGCGTTAGTAAGTACAAAACAAAATAAGTAAGGCTTCATCAATCAATTTTATCTTTTTTCATCGCATAGGCTGGACCAAAGCGAAACCAGATTGGTGAGCGTCCGGCTAAATTTGACGATTAAGCAAATTTAACGATGATGCTGATTATACGGAATTATGAAAAGAACTTTAAAATTTCTCGAAGTAGTTTCAAAATAAATTAAAATTTTCATTAAAATTGTGTTACTTTTTCCTATGAATAATTGGTAATAATTTTGGGGAAGTTCATAAACCCAGAAAGTCTGAAGTAAAATTTTGTGCACATTTGATTCGTGTGGCAGATACAGATACTTGGGACAAAATGTATATTTTCAGTGGACGTTAAGATATAACTTTAGTGGTTAGTTTAGAAGCCGAACCTCTTACCCAGTAATACGCACTAAAACCGCTACTTTACTCAAACAATGTGGCAACTAGTATATATTCTCATCTATCTTGTCTTATGTAAACGCAAGGTTATACAACTATCAGCAATGACGGACTCACGTGCGTCAAAAGTTGAGAATTGGCCAACGTTCGTTGAATCCGTCCACGCAAAGATAGGCAATCTGAGGCTTCCTGTGCAAACACACACAGTCTACTCAACTGTCAGTTTCATTCGGCCATTATGTTCGAGATTTTTGCGCTGTGTAAAACGATGGGCGTTATGAGAAATTTTTAGATCGTGATTTTTGTTTGAGAGGGATCTGCTTTTCATTTGCCTACTAAGCCCAAAAAGTACCACTTGTCGGCAAGAGTTGTCATTCGCTTGGTTGATTAGCATTCTGATTTACTTTTACGATTCCAAGGATATTGTCCGCAAAGAGTTGGTGCCACCGGTTGTAACCAGCCATTCAAAAGGAATCGCTTGCATCAGCTTATTTTGAAAGATATGCCGGCCAATGACCTTAAACATTTTGAAATTCTTTTGCTCA